ATATGTGCCATGACACAAACTCTTTCAACCTGAAAGGTTCAAAACATTGGGTCAAGAAAATTGATGTACAAGGAAATATTTTTAGTTTTATAATGAACATATATGGAAAAAAATAATTCTGACAAAAGAAATCAATAGGATTGATAACCTACTACCTGAAGTTTCTCAAATAAGCCCAACTTTCTTGCTCATATAGGAAACTTTCACAAATAAGATCAAGTTGTTCCTCTGTGTATGACCTGATCCTCTGATAGACTATGAAGCACTTAAAATAAAAATGTAAAGAAGATGCTTGATCAGATGTCATTAGCTTAAAGTATCAGAATAGCCACATAAATATCACACAGATATATACCCAAAATATTGAATCCTAATAATGGTATAAATGTATTTTTAGAAGGTGTTCATTAAGAATATTTTATCATTGATAAGTCTTAAGAAGAAGGACCAAGTTTCAGGAACAAATCAGAGCAATCCAAGGATAATGGCATGCTAATATTAGTCTGTCTGCCCCACACAACCTTCTCTGGGAAATATGGAGCCAGAGGACAGGCCAGCTTTTGGTCACCCATGTTTTGAAACCTACAATCAAACCTTGCCCTTGTTGATTATACTTGAACCGACACCACTGACTTTGCATAGCAAAAAGCAGGGTTTATCAGATTTACTCCTCACCTCTTGGAATTTGAACAAATCAATATGTAGAAGCTGAGGTTTTAGAAGTGGGAGTAGAAGCTGAACAATGAAGAGGTAGAATTGAGGCAAGAGAGGCCATATCAGCAGTTTAGTGCCCAAAGATGGAGCAGGCCAACCCCAGTGGTTGCTGATTGGAAAAACCTGACTGGATATAGTGCACCTGCAATCTCCGTGAGGACAGGAATGAGGCCTTGCTTATTCATCACCATTTCCCTAGCATTTTGCATGGTTCTTTATTCTTAAAAAAAAAAAAAAGCCACTCAACATATCTTTGGAATGCAGTTAATGAGTTAGCATTGAATAGAGAGAGCAAGCCCTTACTTGTCCTTCCTCTAGAAAGCCCATCCAGCACCTGATGCCAGAGACCTACATTTGCCATGAAATTCCTTCTTCAACACAGCCCCTATCTCTTCTTATTCGTCTGAAACTTCCAACATTTCCTTTTATTTTAGCCAATTTGTTTGCCTCCTTGGTTCTTGTCAATAAGTTTCAAAACTAACTTGGTAACAGGGAGAGACCAAGAAAAAGGGGGAAAAGGAGGGAGAGGAATGACAGGGGGAAAGAGAGAAAGAAGAGATGAAAGTAGGGGTGGCATAGAAAAACTGCCTTCAATATTTAGCACTTTTTTTTTTCCTAATGAGGCATTAAAAAGACCTTTCTCAACCACACTACAAGAAGGTTCCAACTTTGGATTGAGGCTAAAAGTCTGCAGAACTGCAACAAACAACCTATTCTAGCAGATCCATCTCTAAAAGAATTTACTCAAGAAGTGTTTGGATTTTCTTATTGGAACAGACTGGATCTAAAAAATAAAAAACAGAAAATATTGCCTGTTGGCTGCTCATATTGTGTTGAATGGACCTAAGTAGACTTCCATTATTCTATTTAATAGATAAGAGTGAAGTGCCCTGAAAAATTATTGTAGCAAATACAATTTACTCAGAGAAAAAATGCATCCTCTTCTATACTCATAATTTCTCTCTTCTTCAATATTACCTGAATATATTTATCATCATGTCTTTAAGAAAATATAAGCACTTGATTTATTTTGCTTCCACCCACAAGGAAACTTAGGAATGGTATGCAGGAAAATATAATCCCAGAAAACATTGCTTTCATAAAACAATACAATGTCCTTGGGCAATAAATCTCTTTATAGGTTGATTCATACCCAAACAGTTGTATTAAAGTATTTTCATATTTACTTATACTTTTTCAAAAGTCCTGGGCTTTTCAAAAGCAGGTACAAACTGACCACATTAGCAGAAACATCAGATGGCCATTATTACCCTTGTCTTGCTTCTAGTACTTATATGTAGCAACATATTACAGCAGTATGATGTTCTGACTAGTTAAAAACAGTACACAGACATTCATAAGGCAAGAGAGAAACGGGATAAAGAATAAAATACTTACTTGGTCCTAGACCAATGGAAAAAGCAGCAATATAAGCAAGCAAGCTGGCTAAGGACAGCCATTTCAAAAATGCTGGGACCTCAGCAGCGTCGGTGACTATCTGGTGTTCAGTTTGGCTTAGTCCAGCATTTGGTAAGGGTGTGGAGGTGACCTCCCCTCTCTTATCCATGTCACTTTGCATGGGCATAAGCGAGCCCCTGCTGAGGGAAGTGACCCCTTTAAAGTGATCTCTGAGAGTACTGTTGCTAGCTGACAGATTTCTTGCTCCATAATACATAGACTCGTCCAAGGACTGATTGATAGGACTGTGGTTTCTGCAGATGTTGGTGAAGTTCATGTGAATGTTAAGATTCACAATGCCCATGGTCAACAATGAAGCTGCCATTACAGAGGAGCCAATGCAGAGGAAGGTTCTGCTGCCAACGTGATCTACAAGAAGGGTGGCGGGGATGGTGCTGATGACCTTGACCACCCCAACCCCAGTGGAAGCGAGGCTGGCTGCCTCATTACTTTGAAAGCCAACAGACTTCAAAACAGTTGAGGCATAGAATAATATGTTTGGCTGGCCAGTGACTTGTACAAAAAATACCAGTGTTAGACCTATCATGATTCGGGTCCTCATGTTGTCCTTGGAACGAAACAGGTCCCAAAAAGTATACTGATATTCATCTTTCAAGGAAGATTTAATCACAGTGAGTTCCTCAGTGGTGTCTGAGATGGCTCTTAACCTTCCGAGAACTTTGCTAGCAACTTCTTCTTGTCCTTTCATCACCAGAAACCGAGGGCTTGGAGGAAGACAGTACATGGCAATTGCCTGCAAAACTCCCAAGGGAATAACAAGACCAAACATATACTTCCATCCATGGGAAACACTGGCGAATGCATAATTTGAAATATAGGCAAAAAGAATGCCGGTGACAATCATCAGCTCATTCAGTGACACAAGAAGGCCTCTTCTGTGTTGGGGAGCAATCTCTGCAATGTACACACAAGTGGCAATGGAAGACAGGGAAATGGAAACCCCTATAGCAATGCGTCCCAATATAAGAACTGTGTAGGAAAAACTGAGTATCAAGACCAAGCTTCCAAGTCCAAGAAGACAGGACGACAAGATGATTGCAGTCCTTCTTCCATATCTGTCTATCAGGACCCCTCCTGTGAGAGAGGCGAGGAAGGCCCCAATGAGGAGGGAACTCACAACCATTTCCTGCTCATGGCAGCTCAGGGCTAGTAGGGTTTTGATCTGGAGAAGAGCCCCAGAGATGAGTCCAAGTTCATAACCCACCAGGAGGCCACTGAGAGCCGCAGTGACCGATGTCAGGAAAGTGAACAGGCTGCAACCTACAGGAGAGGAAAAAACGGACATTTGTTCCAAGTTGTAATTTTAAACATTGTGTGTTTAGAATGGAGGCTTAACCTTGTAAACAATGAGTTTAAACACAACTACAGAAAATCATGCACAACCCCCCCCCAAAAAAAAAAAAAGATTAATTATAGAAGGAATTTTTCTTTTCTTTCTTGTTGAGGAGGAAAGACATGGAGATATTCAGGAAGTCCAGTTTTCCTCTATCTGTGATATTGATGTTGTTTTTAGTTAAGAGCAGACAGCCATGTGAGATAAGCAGGTGACTGATGATAAAGACTGAACAAACAAGGATACTGCTTAGCTTGTGCCTTGGCATTGGATTAGAAATTCAGCTAGCCTGGTGCTTCTGGTCCCACTCCAGTTCTCTGAAGACAAACTTCTGAGAGCAAGATGCGGTGGGTAGGAGCCTTTAGAAGGGCCACAAGCTCCCTGCAGTACACGGGAACCAAATGAAACTAGCCTCCAAAACACTCGCCCTCCTGTCTCCCCAGCCACATGAGGCTGTAACTGGCTTCGCTGAGGAATGTGAGGATGTTGGGGCAGGAAGTAGAAGTGGGATGGGAGGTGTGTAAAAGCCTTCACAAAGCCAAGGTTGTGTTAGAAGGAAAGAATGGGGGGGGGATGGGTGCAGGGGTGCAGGGTAGGGAACCAGCAATATTCACTATTCACTTTGAGTAAGAAGGAAAGGGAATGAATCAGGGAGAACTTTCTTTTTTAATGTTAACATTCTAGGGAAAAGGTCAAACAGCAAACAGTTATTAATTTCTGTTAGTAGGTGCACAGGTGCTTATTATATGTCAAAATAGAAACCAAAAATTTTAAAGTGGCAAAGGGAAAAGCATATTAGCACAGGAGAGGGCAGTTTCCAAAGTGCAGGACAAGAAAGCTCTGGCCATGCCTTAGTAACTGTCAATGGCCTGCACATCGTGTGTGGGGCTCAAGGTGGGGCTGGAGAGGTAGCTGTGATATGGAGAGTGAACTTGTATAGGTAGGGAGGGGACACTTCATGTAGACCTTGAAGGTCACAGTGACACCCTTTCATTGTATTGTATTCCAAGTATAATAGGCTCAACACCCACTGAATGGTTTCAAAATATTTCACACTATGGATTTCTTGTTTTCCTATGTGCTGCTGCTTGGAGACTAGCTCTTCAAGGAGCAAGACTGGGGGCAGAGAGAAGTATGTTGCCTTGGTTTTCAAAAGAGGAACACTTAGACCTGGGTGTTCGGAGTGGAACTGGAGACAAGGGGACAGATATAAGAATTATTTGGGAGCTAAAAATGACTATTCTTGCTCATGAATTGAAGGTGGGTGAATGTTCTGGGACCTAAGACGACTCTGTGCTTTGAGCACAGTATTTGACTTGCTGTATGCAGTACTGTATGCCACATGGGACGATACAACACCACAGGGAAGAACTGGGTGTGTGTGATAAAAAGAGGAACAAACATCAAAAGTTACACTTAGGACTTAACTAAAATGCTTTGCTTGTTTTACCTGGAAGATATTTGGGTACAAATGTCCAGTAGTGGATGTTGGATGTACAGATTTGGAGTTGAAAAGGCAGATCAATGCTAGAGATATATATTTGGGAGTCAGAAATAGGAAAATGGGTGAGATCACTTAGAATAGGGCAAAAGAATAAGCAGGATTAGGACTGGGACTTGGAGAATTCTGACATTAAAGGAAGAGGATCCAGCAAAGGAGGAGGGGAAGAAGCAGAACATGGGCCAGAAACAACTGCTTAGGGCAGACAGTCAGCAGGCCCATTTAACCCTGCCTTGGAGGAGAGGAGACTGTATTTTGGAAATGTTATTCTGCTCTCCTGGAATAAAGCAGGTCAAATGAAGGTGATATAAATCTCTTTTTTTTTTTTTTAAAGAGAGAGTGGGAGAGAGAGAGAAAGAGAGAGAGAGAGAATTTTAATATTTATTTTTTAATTCTCGGCGGACACAACATCTTTGTTTGTATGTGGTGCTGAGGATCGAACCCGGGCCGCACGCATGCCAGGCGAGCGCGCTACCGCTTGAGCCACATCCCCAGCCCCGATATAAATCTCTTCTCATCACAGATTTTCCAAGGTATTTTCCATCTACAGGGTCCTGGTGGGATATGGTAATTGGGAGATTCCAAAATTCCATAAATAGAAACCAAAAAAAAAAAAAAAAAAAAAAAACACTGAGTGTTTAGATGGAGGGGTTAAAAAGAATGCAGTAATTCTTATTAAATAAAACTGATTTGTGAGCATTAGACCATTAAATTAAAATTAAATCAGTAATTTCTTTAGCTAATCAGAAAATAAATATTCATCACCATTTTATAACAGGCTGAACCATGTACATAAATAGTGGTAATAAACAAATGTACCCCTTTCTCCCAAGAAACTGAACTACCCGATGATATTTCCATTATCTATTATTTATCATGTACTGGTTTTATATGCAAGATGACTTTGAAGTGGTCTCTTATATAAAGTACTTTTAGGCTATTCGGTACCACTCAGGCCTTCAGTTTCCACATATTCTTTTTCCCATATAGTCTTAAAACCCTTATTAACAGTTCCTCGACCACAGAATGAGTAGGCAGAATCTTCACATTTGGAAAAGAATATTTTATTATTCTTACCTTTACTTACTACTCCTTTTATCCATGATTGGTATGTGATTCCTGTGTGTCTTTGGCAATTGGTAATTGGTCTCTGATATTCTGATTGAAGAAATTTTGGAGCTTGAAACCCTTGGAAGACACATTAAGTGAGGCATTGGAAGGCCATTTGGAGTGACCAAGGGCAGCCAGGGCCTCTGAATTAAGGATACAGGGAAATGAATCCCAGAATGACTGTGTAGTACAAGATTGTCCTTGCCACCTTGTCCATCTCCTTCTCCTTCCCCTTCCTTGCTTTCCCTTTTATTAGATGAGAAAGAGCATTTCTTTCAATGGAAAAAAAAAAAACTCCTTAAGTTTCAAGGATTCCTTCCTTTGATGCTCTATTATCATATCTTGGACAGGGGTAGGGGAAGTAAGTCAAAAGAATGGGGGTCACAAAGCCTGCTTCCTACAGTCTGGGGAAATTACCTCCTGAGAGAAGAGGGATCTGGCTTCTGCCGCTGCTTTCTGGACTTAGGTCATTTGCCTAGTTCTTCAGCCAGGGCTTGTAGGACACTGACAAACGGGGATGTGTGCAAAGGGTCTGGAAGCCATCCCAGTTTGTCAGAGTCCCTGAAACTTAACACTGAGCCACTTCAGAGACATAATAAAGCTATTTCCACATAAATTGGTATGAAACATTTTACCTTCAATGTTACATAACAGATTAATTTCTTATTACCTGTCTTTCTATTTTACCTATCTCTAGACCTATAAGATTGAAAAGTTGCACTAGGACATTCTATGATCTTAGTCCCAGGTGGAGAGCTTACCAACATGCTGTTGTAGGCCACAGAATTAAGCTAAAGCTTTAACAGTCTGAATTTTATTTGTCTTCCCTCTTCCATGCTTTAAAGGGTGCCACCTCACACTACCATTCTCACTCACCTTACTGCTGGGACTTACCACTGCTGATATTTCACCACAACCCTCAAGCTATCCTTTCAGCTTTTCTAATTCAATGTATAAGGCTACCTAATTCCAAGACTGCAACCTCTGACACCTCAAGACACCATCGGGGCTACAGATAGAGTCTTGGGGTGTCAGAGGCTGTTGCTACTTTCCCATTTAAAAATCATGAAGAGTGTCTACTTTTTGGTTAATGATGATGATGATAGGAAGATGTCATTCTGTGGATGCCAGGAAACACAGTAACTATTCCAAGAGATCTGGCAGTGAGCAGAAGAAATAGGATGTGGTCTGAAGGGATGGCAAGAAGGTGGGGTTTGTGTTGCCTAAACATAGCTGCTAGAGTTTGGGGCAGCTGAGTGCACTGAGAAGCCATAGCCAGGAGTAGGGAAAATGAGAATTTGAAATTACTGCTTTTCAGAAAATCCCCAGCTCTGAAGTCAAGCACTCTGCCCTCAACGCTATTTCATTTGTGGCCTTGCTTCACAGGGTCCCCCCATCGTTTACATCCTTGTTCTCCCTAAAAGTGCCATAGGGAATTCTCAGCTATTCATGGACATCACCAAGGTAGAACTGTTTGGTGCCCATTGACTGTTTGGTTCTGCTCATTCTGTGTCTTCTGGCCACTTGGCTCAAAGACCACTCACTGCAATAGGAAAGTCTCCAGCATGCCTCCGAAGGCAGTGACCTCGCTTCACTAAGGTAATATGAAGATGTGCTCACAATCGGAGGCATTAGGCAATTCAGCGGTGAGACCCACAGCACAAGGCACAGGGGGCAGCACCGGCCATGAGATTGCAGCTCTGGCTTCCACAATGGCTGCATTGTCCCTGCTCTCGGTGAGTCAGATGAAATTCCAACTGGAACCAGCACTCAACACAAAAACGCTCCATTTTCCACAATATTTGAGTTTCTGCTTGCTTTCTCCTTCCCTTTTTCCCCCATATGCCTACCATGGTGTATGGACATAATGGGCACACAATAAAAACTTGCCACCTGACTAAATCCCACAGCAGGCTGAAAAGCAGGCACACACAGGTTGCTTTGGCAGGCAGCCAGGTAATTATACATACAGCTGACCAACTATGAATGCTTCACAAATTTAAAAGAACCCCCTCCCCTTCATGTTTTGTTAAAAAAAAAAAAAAACAACTTGCAATTGTCCAAATAGCCTTGCTGTTTGTGTTCCCCCCTTTTTTGGCTCTTTCTCCCCAAATACCTTTGATGTCAACTCATCTTTCAGCAGCTATCTCAAGCGCCACCTTCCCCTGGAAGACCACCCTTAGTCACATCTGGGTCCTGCCCTGCTATAGTCTGCTGTGTGGCTCCCAGCCCTTTTGTGTTCCCTCTGTGCACAGGCTATTTTCAGAGGGCCTGTCCCATGGTAAGGCACTCATTGATGGACTTATCTGCCTTCAT